TGCGTGTGTGTGTGTGGGGGGGGGGGGGGGTAGCCGCGAGCAGCACTTCAACATGCGAAAAGCCGCATGCGGCTCGCGAGCCGCAGCTTGGCCACCCCTGGCATATGGCATTGAGCGAGCAATTAGTTTATCGATCGTGCGTATTTTCGAAGATCTCTTACATTGTTCTTGCGTATTTCAAGACACGAAATGTACGTCTTAATGTCACCAAGCACCGACACAGCATGTGGTGGCGGTACGAAGATGTACGCTTGTTTCGCCTGTCCGTGAATAGCAAGATTCCGATATACGGGGGACGACTCTATAAAGCTACCCGTCAACGGCGAATTTATATAGGCTCACTAAGAATGGAGACGTCGAGGAGAAACTGCTCATTCCATAAACCGAAATGGCGGCTATACGGGGAGCTTGGCCTGCTTTTATTATGATCCAGTGACTTTAGTTAAAACCATCAGGCATACAGTTATTGCAATAAACGCTAGACGCTCAGGTGGCGCTAGTGTGCTGTTGCATTTTGAAGCAGACAGCAAGCAGTCTAAATTCAACTTCCGGTAATGCATTCCTATGGGAAAACGCAAGTGCGTTTTCTCTTCACGCTCGATTATAAGAGCAAATATTGCTTAGTGTTGTGACAGAATAAAATGTTTGGAGCGTTTTACAATCGGATGTAAAAAAAATATACGTCAGTTACAGCGTTTTTTCTTCAAAATCCAGGCGTCGAACACTGCGCTAAAATAGCCCATTACAGATGTATATTACGCGTTGACGTTGCAGACTGCTATTATAGGGCACTTATTTACTCATACAGTCAATGCTATGAAGCACACAGAGTGAATCAGCTTAACAAAACACCTAAAGGATGCTACTATACGAGGGGGGACCCAAAAGAAACCGAACTAATTCTTTTTTAAGCAGAGCTTTTGCAGTACCGCGTTTTGCCGCCAGGAGTTGATAGAGCGAACATTGCTGAGTCATTAGGCCTAATTCCGTCCTCGAAGAAGGTTAGGACTAGTTGCGGCTGGGTTTATAGTGACAAGTGTTTCGTGAGGGCGTCGTTTTTGCAATGTCTGATTTCTGTGAACAGCGTGCGGCGGTTAAATTCTGTTTTTTGCTCGGAAAAAGTGGAACAGAAACTATTGAACTGTTAAAACGGCGTACAAGGACGATTCCATGGGGAAAACTCAAGTGTTTGAGTGGTTTTCCCGTTTCAAGAATGGCGACATGTCAATTGATGACAAACCTCGTTCCGGTCGTCCTTCCACGGCACGAACACATGAAAACGTTGAAAAAATTCGTGCAATCATCAACGAAGATCGACGACGGACCATTGACGAAATTGTGGAGCTGTCGGGAGTGAGTTGGAGTTCATTGCAGCGAATTCTGACAGAAGATTTGGGAATGAAAAGGGTGGCTGCCAAATTCGTGCCACGACTGCTGACTGCTGAACAAAAGCAAGGTCGCGTGGAAGCATGCTGTGCTTTGAAAGAAGAGTCCCGAAGTGACCCAAACTTTTTTCAAAAGTTATTACAGGTGACGAAACTTGGTGCCATGGTTACGATCCTGAATCAAAGCGAAAATCAAGCCAGTGGAAGACTTTAGGTTCGCCTCGCCCCAAGAAAGCTCGTCAGGTGAGATCAAACATCAAAACAATGCTGATTAGTTTTTTTGATGTGAAAGGAGTCGTCCATTCAGAGTTTGTTCCGCAGGGTCAGACAGTTAACCAGGCTTTCCACTTGCAGGTTTTGAAAAGATTGCGCAACAGTGTGCGGCGGAAGCGGCCCGATTTGTGGAAGTCGGGTGACTGGTTTTTCCATCGTGACAATGCCCCGGCTCCCACTGCCTTGTCTGTACGACAATTCTTGACCAAAAATGGTATGACCCCTGTTCCTCACCCCCCATACTCACCCGACCTTGCCCCGTGCGACTTTGTTTTGTTTCCTAGAATGAAAAGAGAAATGAAAGGAAAGCGTTTTGCTGACGTTGCTGAGGTGAAGAAAAAAACGACGGAGGCGCTGTCAAGCATCACAAAAGATGAATTTAAACAATGTTTCGACACATGGATTAAAAGATTAGACAAGTGTATTAGTGCAAGTGGACAGTACTTTGAAGGATATTGAACGTTTGTACTTGAAATGGGAATAAATAAGTGCAAAAAAATTTAGTTCGGTTTCTTTTGGGTCCCCCCTCGTATGCAAAATCAACCAATCAAAACAGACTACAAGAACGTAGCATGGAGTTATGGTACGAAGAACACTTACTGGATTAGTAACAAGCGTTGCATGAATAATCAAAATAAAGCAGTACGCGAGTGTTCTTGTTCTAAAATAGATACGATAGTTGTTCTTTTTGCTTGAATTCATAGCTTTTATCGCCATATAATGCGGTACAACATAGACCTGGGCCCCAATTTCTGCTAAATTAAGCATCGCTCAGTAATAAAAAAAAGGCATTAAATAAATTAATTACACTTTTATGGTGTGAATGAAACTACATACTACCCGTTACGAGTAAAGAAACTACGCTGATTTCTATTATTTCCTGGCGAAGAAAAAAATAGCACGTACGTTTTCCCATAGGATTACACAGGAAGACTGGAAAAATAGACCGCATGCTGTCTGCTTCAATTTGCAACCGGAAGTCCCGTAGACACTAGCGCCAGCTGATCCTCTAGCGTTTACTGTATTAACTCTATGCTATCAAGGTGCAATTAAGTTGTTTTTTTTATGCACTCGGTCACGCATTTTCACAGAAAAGGGAGTTTGTTGAACAGAATTTAGGCGATGTGGTGAGTATGATCGTGCTCGATGTGCCAAAGAGACGCTGGAATATTGGCAGCGATATTGCCTCCCTCTTGTGTTCTTCACCTGTGGCGTCATGACCACCAATGACACTCGGCCACCAAAGACGATTTCGATGGTGTGTGGAAAAGATCACGGTAAAAGCTTGGAGCCATCGCATTCTAAAAGCAACACCGTCAAACTTGACAGTCTGACAGTAATTTTGTTTCCGTCGATGAAAGCAGAATTAGTCCTACTGAAGACGTCATATTCAGAATTTGGCCAATCGAGGAATGGCGATCACAGCGACGCTTTTGTTTGTGCACGTCGCCAATCGCCTTTAAAGAAACAAGCCCCCCCCCCCCCCCCCCCCCCCAATGCCATCTCATTTCATCGTAGTCCGCAATCAAGCACCACAGGAACGCAGCCCCGTGTTTTCTTCCGGCTTCAGGCCATTCGCCGAAATCTCAGTGTGAAGCATTATCTTCCTCTGGATCACTAGTATCACTTCGCGGTCCGCTGCAGTCTAAAATAAATAAATAATTACCACGACGCGAGTGCAACGGTCAAAGTATCAAGGGTAACGGTCTATGGGACCGTTGCACTCGATGCTCTTATAGTAACGGTAGAACGGAGCTCCAACTGCAACTCCCAACTGAAAGTATGTTTCCTTTTTCTCGCTTAAAAATGTGGCACTGATCCAAGGCAACGCGGCTGTTGACTTTTACATAAAAGAACACACACTAACAAACAAAGATACTTTTGTGCACTCTTTAACAGCCATTCTTTTTTTTTTTTTTTTCCTTATAAACCCCGCCAAACGTTCCGGAAAAGAAAAGCGACCAGCCGCAACAATGTGCCGCAGTCTCTTTTAACCCCAGGCGTAGGGCAACATCGTAATATACTCTAGTCCTGTCCCCCGTCGGGTATTACGACAGCTCGCTAAGTGCGTCTCATACGACCTGTAATGGCGGGAAGCAACGCGGCAGAGATCCCAGACAAGGCTTTTTGCGCCGGAGAACGGGTCACGTGACCGCATCGCATTGAAGTCAAGGCTAGCGACTTCTCCAATCAAAGACCGATCTGCTAGCACGTCGCGCGTAGAAAAAGAGCCCGCTCCCGGAGACACCGGCGCAAAACTTGTTTACATGAGCTGCGTAGTCCGGAAACAAAATATGGAGCTGGTTATTTTGGGTGTCTTCCTGCTGTTTGGCTCGGGTAAGCACCTCGTTTGTTTTCGTCGCTTTTTGATGAACTTTTGGTAGTGTGTGCGTGTGTTCGTTCATGCATTCACGAAGACTGCTTTACAAAGAGTATTGTGCTAACCCGCGGGAATCGCAATCACTGCTCGTACATCATGCAAAACACACGGCGTTTTCTGCGGACATATTGGTAAAAGTATCCTCGGACATGCCTCGCGTATGTGCGTAGCATATCTGCTTCATACAGTTGTGTGCTTTGAGCATGTCTGCAGGTAGATTTTGTGCGACCAATGTGACAGAATTGTCAACAAGGAAGAAACGCGCACCCAGACGGCGTCTGCAAACTGTCTTTTGTGCGATGTGTTAGTATAGTGGTGATTGAGGTGGTGTTTTTGATTGCTTTGCGAATGGCCATTTCTTTATTTAATTGGTATCTGTAATCAAAGATGGCATTTTTGCAAATATCAAAACGACGCAAATACAACTGACTGTATGCTACCTCGTAACTATAATTGTCCTAAAGTCATTGCAGTGCGTTTGGACATCGACGAGTGGCCCTTTCATTTCACGAATCTCCTTATAATCTGAAGTTTTCAGCTTCTGAGATATTTGTGTAATGCATCATTATATTATAAATACTCCCCGCAATAATCAATAAGAGGTGCTGCGGGTTTTGCTTGAATAATAAATAACTTTGTGCTATGAAGCTTTCGTGTCATGAAAGAGTAGATATTCTAGACCTTTCACAGCGTTAAACATTTAAATCATGATGCTTCCATTCTTCAAATATACGAAACAACCGAAAGTCGAGACAAGCTTATTGGTATATGACCAAGTTTTTGTATAATAAAACCCTTGACATTATTAAGTTTTTATGTCCTAAAGTGTACAATATAACAAATACCATTACGTATGCATTGACCATTAGATTAGACACTTTTTATAATATAATATTTTTCATGACATTGCTCCGTGTTGCAGCTTTCATACCATAAAACAATTCGTTTATTTATTCCAAATTATGAATGGTACGTTTTGTGTTATGATGAATACCATATACGAGCCTTCCTTATCATGAAGAGCTTACTTGACATTAGGAATACTTAAAATCACAGACGATCTTACATCAAAATTTTCATAACGCGAGTAAGGTGATGTCATGAAGTGTTCGTGGCATGAACATTTTCTGTCACAAAACGTTTATACGATAAAGCTTTCATGTAATGAAAGGGTTGATACCATGCATATTTTTAATCTCCCGGAGAAAATCAACCAAGGAATTGTTCACGCTGGGGCACGCATGAAAGAAGTGAAAGCACCTGTCTCTGTTGGATTCTTTAGATACCCCCTCCTTCCTTTTCTGAAATTCAGGGGAACATGCATCTCCATTTCTATTTCCTGTGATGTGCTTGTTCCTGAACTGTGTTTCTCGTCTTCCATTCAGGGGCTTGCCAAATTAAGAATGTTCCGGAGTGCAACGACGCCGTGATCGAAGCATGCGGGGAACAGTTCGTGGCCTTTGCCCACGGTCCACGAGTCGCAGAAACGCTCAGCGAACTCGAAGAGAGTTGCAAGTAAGCTCAACTACGCCTACTGAGTGAACTATACGCCGGAAAGAGGGATGACACTGGAGCCGTCATGGTGCTTAATATCATGGTTGCCAGATGATATGTGGAATTACCTGAAATCGCAGGAAATACTTTTGTGTCCACCATAAATGTCAGAACAGCCCACGACTAAGCCAAACCACGTCGTCCGAGTTTCCTGACACCGCGTACCTAAAGATCGGAAAGTAGCATTTTCTAAATCGTAACCATCGCCGGTCGTACCCGCCTTGAACAAAAAAGGCATCAAGATGGCGGCGGGGGTCGGGAGCGGTACGAACAGACATGAGACGTCACGTACAGAAGTGAAGGTGTTGTGCATTGTCTTATTTGTTTATTCCTTCAATTACGCTAAGCTTGACACAAGAGTCTGTTTTCAAATATGAATCGCAGTTTCAACATCTACCGGAGATCCTACTAGGTGCGTTTGCAACGAAGAGCACATCACGACCAGTAGGTATAGAAAGGGTATCGACATTGTGATAAGAACAGCTAGGGGCTTGTTATATGATCCACTACTATATGCTGTATGCTCTACCAGATGGCACTCATCTGGGGGATCATATAGCAGCTTAAATTTTGCCATACCAATGTCGGTAATGAACTTGTATTCTATCAAGCACCCTCACCTTCGCAAGTCAATGGCAGGCTAGGACGTGCTCACCACTTTGAAGTTCTTTCTCAGTCACTTTCAGTTTCTATGGTGACGAAAATGCAACCGGTCAGAACGAAGCTCCAACCCACATAGACGCCTAGATAAAATTTTAAACACCAAAGCGCGTTAGAGCCGATTGTGTGCCGCCCACAGATTCACTGATTCTGAGTTAGAAATGAACGCTTACGATGCTTTTGTGTCCAATTTCTGCGTCGACATGTACTAACCCCCAAATGTATACACCTCGCATAGTCCGCTTAGGAGCATATTCAACGCCTTTTTTCGTCAGTCAGTAGAATGCCTTTATAAGTGCGGCGCAGATGCCATTCCTCAGATGATGACGATAATGATCAAAGTGGCCAGACTGAATTTCGAAAAAGGACTTGGCCTGGTGAATCCCGAACATTCTCTTCTCGCTCTGCAGCCAATCAGAGTAGGGCACGAGCCACCAAGATCTCCGAAGAGCCAATCAGGAAGGAGAGAACATAATAAACCCCGCCCTGTTTTTTTTTATTATATTGTCAGTGCCTCTATTTATGTTTTCCGTTTTTATGGTCGTTCTACACTGAGCAGTGTAATCAATTGTTTCATTCGAACACGCTTCCCGAACAGAAGTCGCTCTAGAAAAAGAGAAAAAATATGGAGCGACTACTTTCTCCCAATGCTTTTGGGAGAGCCAATCGCCGCAAATAAACGGAGCGAACTCGCTGAATGGCGAGGCTGAACATATGTTTACGTCTAAAAATTATCTAAAAAAAAATTTAAAAAGTTCGTTCGGGGCATTGAGTATGGCGTTTAATGTGCTTACGTCCCTGAGAGCTTAAGAAACGCATAGCATGACTAATTATGTCAACGCTTCTTGCTTCGTAAATTGTTACTCGGGGCTTTTTTTTTTTTTTTTTCGGCGCATCACACCTTGTCATACTGTGACTATTCGCGATTCCTGCAAAACAGACGGCACCTAGCGGCAAAGAACTTAACTGGACGGGACAGGTGCTTTGCGGTTTCTGCTAGTCTCTGAGTGTGGCTTGCTTGATTACATGTTGTCGGCGGCTGTCGAGGTGGAACAGTTGTCTCGGTTACTGTAGTTACTGTGGTACCTGCGTGTTGCCCAAGTAGCTCTGAACCCAACCTACCGCGGGAACCAGAAATTGTGCGTTCATCAACGTTACTGAGCACAGTAGAAGGACGGTGGACGGTACTTCCTTCGCTTCCCCGAAGGTGGTCAAGCCACCGGAAGCTCGCGCTTACAGCGACACATCGCAGCAGGTCTGAAACGAGAGCCTATTAATCGTGAGCAAACCATTTAGAGTCCAAAGCTTACCTGGCGAAACCCGAACGTTGTGCGTTGAGCTGGAACGTGTACGGCACGACCTGTTTAGGCTGCCATATTTGCCCGATAACGGAGACCCCTATAGGTCAATGGAGTCTCGAATATGCGGTATTCACTTGCGGCCATAGCAGAGACCGCAGCCACTCAACATGCAGCTGACCGTCTGGCTTTCACAGTGCTATACCAGCGTGTATTCTACACAATCGCCGACAGCCAGTGTTAGGAGCCTATAAGTATGAGCTCGTTCTGGGCATGCACGGTGAAGAGTGTACTCGAATATGGTTCAGCGAATGCCCCTTATACTAGGGGTACTTTAACCGCCCCACGTGGTCTTTAAAGATAAAATATTCGAAAATATGCAGATGAATGACCAGAACTTGACCGAATGGAGCAAAAGGTTACGAGGACGCCAAAAGAAAAATATTTTGTCCGCGACGAGATGGTACCTTTGTTTCATCCGATCAAGTACGGTTCGTTTTTCTGCGCGTCTTCGAGCATTTCTCTCTACAGCAGGCATACTAGCCAGAGTGAGTCGGCGAAAGAGGAGAACACGACGGTCGATCATTGCAGGCGGGAGCTGAAGGGCCTCGCGTGCGCCCGGAACTACGCCGAGCGCTGCCTGGTGGTGGGCTTCTTCCGTGGCGCCGCATTCACGGCCCTCACCACGCTCAAGGAGGAAATGGACAGGAAGTGTGACTCCTCGCACCCGAACCACAAGCGTGAGAATATTGCTCGAGATTCACCACACATTTTCTGGCGCTCCATTCTTTTGGGGGTAAAAATTGGGCGCTTGATACCCTGAAAGGTTCTCTGAGCTTACCAAACTAAACAAATTTTTGTATTGCCAAGATTTTTTTTTTTTTTTTTTTTTTGGGGGGGGGGGGGGGGGGAGGCAGGTTATTTATTATCTCGGAATTCAAAATGGAGGATGAATAAAACGGGGAACGACCGTGATTCCAAAAATATTCAAATTCTCCCGCACTTTCCAGTGGGTGTCGTCACATAACGTATTTCATGTAAGTCGAGCAGGCAGTCTAAGAAACAGTATTTTGAGCATGCTTTTTTTTAATTTTAGTAAAGTGAGCTTAACCAACGTTCATTTAACACCGTCAAAATTTCTTGTAATCCACCGGGAACAATTTGGTAATATTGCCTTATTTTAGGACATCTGACGTCACGTTTTTATTGTTGCCAGTAAAGTCTCCTAGCCTCTCGGACCAAAATTAAAACTTCAATAACTTCGAAAAAAAAAACATATATATTGTTTCTTGCAATTGGGATACTAGTTCACATATGTCTGCTAGTGTATTAAACCAGTTTTGAGGTAAATCAGTGGCTCAGTGTATCAGTGAGGCAAATCAGCGAACTAGAGCACGCCGATGGGCACTTGCAGATTACAGATCACGGGATGAAAAACCTTTCAAGTGGTCAGAAAACAGACATACTAGTTTCCTGCGGCGAATATGCTGCCGACGAATTTCAGAGGAAGGTGCTTTTGTGTGTGTTCGCAGGTTACCTAGAGAACGCGCACTGCCTAAACAAAGCTGGTGAGCGCATTCACAAGTGCGTGGAGCTCTTCAAGGAGGAGCTGTACACGGTCGCCCTAAAGGCTGCCACCAGCAAGAGGATTCCTTACGGATGCTGGTAAGCGCCCTAAAACGGCTTTCAGGAATACGGGGCCGGAAACACGTCTTCGACTGGCGCGTGTTTTGCCTACACCACCTGGAAGACAAGGCCTGCTCATGACGTCATTTTTAATGGATCTCCGGCCCGCCCGAAGCGGCAAACACACCGAAGCTAAACGAGAGATGCCACGAAGAGGCAGACGAGTCTATCTTAGCGTTGCTGCCCGCTAGCGTCGCGCTCTTTGTGAGACGCTGAAAGACATGTAAGCAGCGATTCTGACGCACGTTCTAAGTGGTATTGAGAAAATGAATGAATGAATCAATCAATTAATGATTGAATTTATTGGATCTGGAGGGCTCTCTGGCCAGTTTGGGGAGAGGGTGAGTGGGGGGTAGGGCGTTTGCAATCCTCAGGTTCTGCTGACGAGTTGGTCCTCTTTGGCAAAGGCCCACAGCGCGAGTAGTTTTTCTTCTATATGATTCGTATCAGTATTTACAGTCTATGAGAGTTTGGACCCCAGGAGGTCTGTGGTTGTTGCTAATGGATTCCAGAGACGGTCAGGACCGGTTATGGTTGAGGTTTCTTGCCGACGCTGTTTGAAAATGAGTTGGTCGGGAATACTCTCTGTGTTTATGCTTCCTGTAATTTTCCTATCTTCCGATGACGTTCTTAGTTGTGGCCTAACCAGAGCGAGCACTGGTAAGGACTTGGGCCTTCCTTCGAGTGTGTCTGGGTATGGGATGTATGGATATGGTGTGCCGAAGCTGCTCCTTGCTCTTATGTATTGTTACTGCTCATTGCTCTTCCGGGGACAGTTTGCTCTAAGGGATGGGCGTTGAAGAATAGAGGGGGGGTTGAGAAGAATCTCAGTCGCAAGAATGTGTGCCTCCTCGTTGCCTGTGTTCCCAGCGTGGTCTGGTGTACACTGTACACGTATTTTGATGTTATGGCCTCTTCGGAATTTCATGCTGAGTTCCTTAATAAGTATAGGGCGTAGAGTTCCGTCGTGCGGGGTTTCGTAGCGTTTTGAGAGCCTCCAGGCTGTCCGTCAACATGCTAGTTTTAGTCACTTTTTAGGATGTGTGTTCCATCAGTTTCCTTATTCCCAGAAGGACAGCCTGCAACTCGAGCTCCGTTGTGGAGATAATGTCGGGTGTAGAAAGGCTCTGCACGTCTTTTGCATTCCAAAGGTGTCAGTTGCAGCTGAGCCAGTAAGCCGCCGCAATGCTGCCATGGTCCGCCCACGTAGATCTTCCGTTCTTTTGGGGCATGCCGCAGGAGCTGCTTGCGCATACGCACTCTTTTGGTAGTTACTTTCACGGGCATAAGTAGGATTCCATGTTTTCGAAGTTTATTTTTCGTCCAATTCGGAGGCTGTTTATCGGAGTTGATTCTTTCCGAAAATTCGAATTTTATCGGAGTTCATTTTTGTTCTATTCCCGATTCTCCAAAATTCAGAGTTGAATTTCGCAGTGTTTCCTATTAAGAATAAATAAATAATATCAGTGTGTAAACGTACGCTAGATCAAAAACAAATGCGCTTTTATCAATTAATATTTCTTCAGCTAGATTTGGCGTTCGTGCCATTACCATTAGAAATACAATTTGTCCCACGACAAAAGTTGCACACAAGTGTTCCCTAGATAAACGTCGATACTTTAAAATCACTAGGCTCCTGGAGGTAGTCGCTGAGAAGCTTGTATTCATTCCAACCTACTCCATGAACCAACCCCGCGGCCATGCGAGATGGAGTGGTAAAGGATGTAATAGAGAAGTTTCAACTGCCCCTCTTCCCCACTTTATGCAATCTCTATGGTCACAACCTTTCCTTCCTCTCTAAAGTACAAATAGTAGGACCCAAACTCGAAACATAAGCAGTGACTTTTGTCGCTACCCGAAAGTACAATGACCTGTTATCCTGATTGAGATTAGAAAGGTAAATGTGAAGGCATTTTCCCAGAACTATTGACCCCATACTGCTGATTAAACTTAATTGTAAAATCCGAATTGACCAAAATTTTGCCGACGGGTGTTTTTCGGAGTTTTTCAAATTTATCCGAAAACACGGAATCCCAGGTATAGGTTTTGCTGTGGTCATGAGTATGTCTTTCCAGGGGGGTACCGTGGAGTCAAACGTTGTCACGTGGAATATGTGGTCGTCGTATTCCAAAAGACGTTAACCCTGCGGGGTGCGAAGGCGTTGTGCCTGGTCGTTGTTTGCCTTGGTTGATATATCTTGTAGAGCGGGGAGTTTACTGTACCTGTATAGCACTTTCGTGCGTGTGTGATGCGGGAGTCCGGGTATGATCCGCACGGTTTGTCGGAAGAGGCCTTCAAGTTTCAGTAGCTATACTTGTGTGAGCTGATAGCGTATAGCTCCGTAACATGCGCGTGAAACTAGGACGGCTTCCACAAGCTTCCCGGCAATGTCTTGTGCTGCTCCTCCGAACTTCTTGGATATGCGCCCAATTAGATGGAGGAACTTCCTCCAAACCGGTGCGAGTTGCTTGAGCCACGTGTTCGCTCCTTCTTCGAAACTGATGTGAATCACCAATTTACGAATCCAGCCTTCATCAAATTGGAAAAGGGTCTTTTTCTTTTTTTTGTAACGTGAATGACATTTTCATTCTTTTCTCGGTAGATCCCTCGATACGGAAACTTTTTTTTTTTTTCGGCGATACTTGCATGCTTTTTTTGATAAGGAGGAGTGCGTTCTGAAGTTATTCACATGCACGCTCTGTGCTTTCGAAATCATCATACTCCAATCAGAGCGTGATGTCGTCCGTATAAACCGTAAATCTGACGGTATATTCATTTTCAAGGGCCGTCGCTTTGAATCTCATGAGAATATTAAAGAGCATCGGTGAGATGACCGATCCTTGGAATACTCTGGCTTCGTTGCTGTATAAGTGAGGGCTCGTTGTTGCTGCGTGAATTTAGAATGTATGGTGACGAAGGAACCCCTTGACAAAGTTAAGCATGCGCTGGCTTGGATAAGCTTCTCGTTAACTGTTAAGTAATCCGTTTTTATTCTTCTTTTTTTGCAGTGCCTACAACGGCCTGTTCCGCTGCAAGCAAGAGAGCCTCGAGCAAGCCTGCGGAGACCCCAAGACAATCCAGCTTGTTCACGAGACCGCCGAGCACGTCCTCGGTGACCTGGTCAAAGTCTTCTGCGGCCGTTACGAGAGCGGCTCGTCCGACTGCAAGTCCCTGGGAAAGCTCCCGGCCCTCGCCGCGAACGAGACCGCGCCTCGGAGCTTCATCCTCTTGCTCAAGGCCTTCGTGACCACGCTGCCGTAACGCCTATCAGTCGTATCTGAGGCGACAGCCTCCTTGGCCCGACGCCTCTTAGGTGACGAGGTCGTAGTGCTGAATTTTCGGTGTTACCCAATGAAGGCCAACGCAAGGAACAGTTTGGACACGGCTACTGTGTCAACGTTCACCAGAGACTCGTGCTCCTACTGATTGAACATGCATTTCAGCCGACCGCTGACGTAGTACTGGTGTCCAACCTCTTCCACGTTGACCTTCTTTAATTAAGTGACATCGAATACGCATCACTATGGCTTTGTTATTTAGGATGAGTTATGTGGCCAGTTTCAGAAGCGCCAGTCCTGGACACCTAAAAATACGTCCTACCAGATCGCTGTGTCACAACTCCGGGCGACACGAGTGCCTCTTAAAAGGGGTGCTTGTACCTACTCACGCCAGCGGCGTTGCTCCTAACACTTCTTGAACTTATGAATAGATTCCTGTAAAGCACCCCACCACCCCCGCCATCACTATCCACTACCCGTCAAAAGCCACGTTCGACACCAACTTGAGCACGCCATCTAGAATCCGCACCAGAAACGCGGGAATATGCTCGTAATCAAACTGTCCAAAACGAGCAGCGCAGTTGGCAACATCATTTCATTTTTTCTGCTTAGTATCGCTAACAAGCTCTATATTGACTCCCAAGGTATGTTTTTTGTGTCCCATCTACAAGCGCCTCTGTGTTCATCTCAATGTTTGTTTCCTCGAGTCTCCCTCCATCGCACTACCTCAGCAACGAAAAAAACTGGGTCACCTCCGCGGTCCCACCGGGGACTCGTGATTGGAACGGTCATCCAACTCCATCATCACTATCAACCAAAATTCCAGGAATCTTCATGTATTTACTTCTTCTAACGGTTGTACGGACGCTTAATTCATTACTAAAGTTGTGTGGTGGGTGACTTTATTTTGCAGTGTTTCTTACCCAATTTCATTAACGGCGTCAAGTTTCGCCCGCGTCGTCCACGGGGGCTTTGAACATGCTTATCACGTGGGTTCGGAAAGCAACCCACAAGCACTGTTGGCTTTTAGTCAATCGCTCAATACCTCCACTACTTCCCAGGTCTCAAAAATAGGAAAGAAAAGGGGTTATGTTCAAACTCTTACCCAAATAGATCCCAGCTACTTCGGCGGTTGTGTCACGTGATAATACAAATAGAGCGACGCTAAACGTGGGGAGGTTTTCGAACACAAAGGTACAAAAGCCTTACCCGGGTGTGAAATCGAGTAAATTTTGGAACACGACCAGGAATACGAGGGCCCGGCAGAACAGATGAACAGCATTGGCCGGTGCCATGTGACGTCAAATCTGACGAGCACCGAGGTCCCCGTAAAGCGGACCAAGCGAGAGGAAAAATCGCGATGTTTGCTTGGTGGTGCTCAAACAGACATCGGACTGCCGGACTGCCGGGCGCTTCAACTTCCACAATTTTCGACGGAGTCCTGTCGCCTGACAATTTCTGAAGTGTCCTGTATGGACAGACATTTACGGATACTTCAACACCGTAATTTTCAAGCTTCCGCAAAAACAAAAAAAAACAAAAAAGGTTTGCCTCTGTTTCTGAACTTAAACGACAACAAAATAAGTTTTTGACTCAGCAATGTCGCTTTTTAGTTTACTTGCGTCACACGTGTGAAAAATGCGAACCGATCGGATATAATTTACTCATTCCTTTCAAGGGGTACTGAAAACAATTTTAGACACTGTGTGTAATGAATGTATCTAACGAGGGTCAGGAACCTAGGAAAAGTGTCTAAAAAGGTTTTGGAAAATGCCTGTTTTTTTTTTCGTTTTTTTCTCGAAAATATGCTATTAAGGAAAAAAGGACCAAAATTAACAAACTGTTTCTTTGATTCTTTTCAACCTCACTGGTCCGGAGTTATTCTGCAAAAGATCACTCCACCCTGAAGGCACAGCAGAAGGATTGTTGTACAAGATTCACCGCCAGCAGACAGCTGGAGAGAGCACGTATTTCTGCCGCGGTTTAGTGTGAAGGCAAGAAATTTCTCAAGGGTGCAGGTTCCTGCCTGTGGAGAGAACAGGTGTTTATTGTTCTTGCCTTTGAGCTCTTGGCGTATACTCAAATGTGGGAATGGCCGCGGATCAGTGTAATATCAAAAATGGATATTACTAACGTATACGCCCTAGCTATACTATTCACATTTCGACCCCTTCGCCACAGCAGTTCATATTTACATGCAATTCCTAGGGGATGTCGCCGTCTCTGCCATACGTATCGGTTCTGCTTCCCTGGTCTCTGATTATAATAAAACCGGTCGCAGACCAATGTGAAGCGCAAGTTCGTCTGCTTCTTGCAAAAGGGTTGCGACGGTATCAGAAAACCAAACTCTTATTGGCTGATTAGAAAAAAGATAGTGGGTAGACGTGAAGGCATTCAGCATTGAGCCAAGTCTACCCACTATCCCTTCAATCAAAGAAAATCAGAACTCGGCGTCGTTCTGACGTCACTGCAACCCTTGCGCAAGAAGCAGACGACTTGCTCTCCGAATACCACGTAGAAGACAAGGCCTGCGGATGACGTCATCATAAGTGGATCCCCACCCGCCCCAAGCGGCAAACATGCTGGAGAAAGAGTCGGCGCCAAGTGGCAGACACGTCCGTCTTGGAGTTGCAGGGTGATAGCGTCACGATTGTTGCAAGCCGCTTCAAGAGGCGCTGGCAGCGATGCTGACGTAAGCTAGGTGGCGCTGAGTGCCTCCACTAGTGATGACGTTTAGGGAGCAAAGATGCAGGCCTTGTGGGCCTAAAATGATTTTGTGAATGTTATATTTCCCGTAGATAGTACGTGAACCCTATCTTGCAAGTACTGCATCGGCCTATGCACACGCGTTGAACGCGTTCTAGAACTACCCGATAGATGGCACCAGTGTGCCAGTGTGTTCTCTGGGTGTGTTAAGGCCCGTTTACACACTTGCAACCGAGTAGGACCGGCTTTGAGAAGACCTGTTCTTAAGCCTCTTGCGACGGCTTAGGACCAGATGCGCTGCTGTGGAGCAGGTCCTAAGCCGTCGCAAGAGGCTTAAAGACCGGTCTTGTCTCAACTGGTCCTACTCGGTTGCAAGTGTGTGAACATATTTCTAAGCGGCTGCAAGGGAACGCAACGCACTTCATCACAGTAAAACGGAAATGTGTGGACCAGCCTTCAGGTATGTATGTATAGTAGGTTCCCCGAAAGTTCCACAGGCTCTGCGACAGGGACTGCCACGATGGAGGTCTTCATCCGTAGTCAGAACTGTTGCGTCAGGGATAGGTTTAACATGGCAATAACTTTTATTACGTCATACCTGGAGGGCCTGTGCTAGCTTCGGGAAGAGTGATCGTCCTGATGAATTTAACGTCTGCCCTCCATTTTCTCTACTACCGTTGGATGGGTAGATGGACGGACAGATGGATAGTAACGGCTCTACCCTTGATAACGGGCGGTAGCTTGCGCCACCTTGCCTAAAAACGTGTGACTTGCTTTTGAGTCGTTGCCAGTGCACACTGGTATTGTGGACCACGGGAAAGCTGATCTCCTGACTTATCGACACGCTTAGTGTCGCTCTTCACCGATAAAACGAGTCAGGGAGATTTGAACGCGATTTCTTAACAGAGAAGTGCCAGCCACACCCAGGGGTTGCTAAGGAACCAGCCCCTCCTGCGATCACTTGTAAGCTCCCAAGAGAATCATCGATGGAAAACTGTGCGGACACAAGATACATTCCGTAAAAAGTCCAGCGGGGGAGTAACCCCACCCGACAGAATTGCGGCGCACCGGAGGACATCGAACACGCGTGCTTCCGGTAGTCACAGTGTAGCAAAAAGAGCGCAAAGCCTCGCTGCATCGTCACTCCCTGAGTAGTTTGCCCGTTCCCACTTCTCAAGGGCTCCTTATCCCAGATGCACCACGTCGACTATAGGCAAGCCCGAGCACGTAAATACCTCTTGTATACTTTACGAGGTAGACAGGCTTGGCCAATCGTTTCCAAACACCCGCACACACCACAACAAAAAAAGTTCAGAATGACCCTGAGCTCGACTCACAGCCCAAGCACGCCGTTAATTGGGAGAATTCCTAAATTTCATTTCAGCCACCTTCGGATTTCTGTTATCCTCAAGCCGGGTAGTGAATTTCTCCGTAGCGGCGACCCACGTCCCTCCCTGCTTCATTCTTTCCTTCTTTCAGCCGCAGTCCCTGTGCTAATACATCACAGGAAAGACAGTGAGAGGACACTGTCCGAGGCGACACTCTTTCTTGAGTGACTGCGTCACATAGCTCAACAAAAAAAACTGTCTGTAGACATGTTCAAAGCGCGGAAATGTATATAAAGCAAACATGCTCCAAACACACTTGAGGTGCGTGTCCGCAGGAAATTCTGTCACCATGTCCGCAGCGAACTCCAAGTCTTTTTGTATGATGTTTTCGAGCAGGGTGAATGGGGCTTTATAAGTTCTTGTCGCCGATACAGCGAGCATCGGAACAACGTGTCGCTGCTTTGGTCCTCAGCCAACCTTGAGAAGCTCGTGGCACCGGCGTTACGTGAGCGCCGACCCCGTCTCTGCCAGGCATCCCCCGCAGGGCCCGACGCGGGCGTCGACCAGACACGCGACCTTGCACACTGCGCGCTAGAGAGCCTAGACTTAAGAGAGGAAGCAACAAAAACAACGGAGAGCTTTTCTTTTTTTTAAATTCAATATCGGACGCTTTTTGGGTGAATCGGTCGCTGTCGCGTGGAGAAAGAAGGAGGATAGCTAGTGGGTGAGAAAGCAGACACACTTGCAGACGACCAAAGCTTTCGTCACCTCCCCAAAAGATGGTATTGCAAACGCGGTCTACAAATCACGTGAGCCCTATCGAGCAGTTGGAAGCACTCTGAACTCTAGGCACACTTCTCTGAAAACGCCTCGCGTCGCGCGCGCGCGCGCACGATAGCAGCGTTTATTTGAGTCAAGGCAGCCACGCGTCTTATCCAATCGGTTGCTGGCGAAAGTGTGCCGGACGTCCGAATAAAGGAACGAACCTTACCTCAGCCGCGAGATCGTCGCTCAATTTAGTCCCAGCGGCTCCGGGGATGGTGCGAATTGCGGCGAGCTGGCTCTTGGTGGCCTTAGGTGAGCTTCACCGTGCGCACTCCGCGTCGCTCTGCATTCAAAGTCTCGACCAGACCTGCCTAAGGGTTTTCCTGAAATTTCCGGATCTCGTGGACTTTTATACTGACGATTCGTTTGGTGTCAGATTTGTGTTAGTCTGAATTACGAATGGCGGAGGATTGGTGTCCGAGTGCGTAGACAGAAGGCAGCTCGGAGCACGTAGACCGAAAGTTCGCGCCCAGGCTTCAATCCCCAGTTCTGCCCGTTTGGATCTGGATGAGCATTGCACCGGAGATCTGTCGTGTATCACTACTGCGTGACGCATGCTAAAGGCTAAAATTTGCCGGAGACACTAACACGTTCATTAGTGCTGACTAACTTCCGATTTTCTAAACATACACACAATTACACAAACGAATAATTCAATATGAGGGAGTGAAAAAGAAGTGTATTAATCCATGTAGCTGCAAATTTTTCTCTATGTCCGTACATACGCTTTTATTTATTTTATTTATTTTATTATTTAGGTATACTGTTAACCCGTTAGGGTTGTTACAGGGGTGCACAAGGCACGAGAATACATATGACCAAATACAAAAAGAAACAAGGACACTGTATCAACAACAATTCAAACATACAAAAATAGCGCTTGACATTGAATTTATAAATCGTCAAACAGCGACGAAGCAAAGACATCACACAATAACATCACAATTTTCTCATGATTATACGTGAATAGGAAATACTAAGGATTCGATAGATATCACTGAAAAAGGTTCAGAATGTTTTTTTTCAAATAAGGTTAGTGTATTTGCTGTTGTTAATTCTTGTGGTAGGCTGTTCCAATCAGTTATCGTTCTTGGAAAAAAGGAGTATTTATATGCATCAATATTTGCCGTATCTATTTGGTAGTGGTTTAAGTGGTTGCCTCTGAGAGGCCTGATCTGCCGAGCAACTATGTAAGGGTCCGTATTAAAATTAAATTGGCCATTTTGTAGCATATAAAAGAATTTAAGGCGTGCTATTTTTCTACGGTCACAGAGCGTTGGAAGGTTGAGATAGTTAAGCATTTCCTGTACTGATTCTGTTCTCTGATATCTCGACAATATAAATCTGGCTGCCATCCTTTGTATTTTTTCTAGTTTATTTATCTGATAGGCTCTAAAAGGATCCCAAATTATAGAAGCGTACTCTAGAGTAGGCCGTATTAGTGCTTTATATGCAGTTAGTCTTGTCTCAGGGGGAGCGAGCTTGAGATTGCGCTTGAGATACCAGAGTTTTTTCCTAGCAGCTGAGCACACATTGTCAACGTGAGTTTTCCAGCTTAAGTTTGATGATATGGTAAGGCCAAGATATTTAAACTCGTTCACCTGTACTAAAGGTTCGTTTCCAAGCTTGTATACGAATGGTAGAATATTTTGTTTTTTGTTAGTTATAGTACAATGTATAGTTTTAGTTAAGTTAATTTTCATTTTTGACTCCTCTAAATTTAGCGTACGAATCGAGGTCACGTGACAACATGACAACACCGTGACGTCACGACGTGCCACGTCACGTGTATTTCTCAATAAATCTAGTATAAAAATGACTTCACGTGCCCTGCTGTCACGTTATGTGGCCGTGTGATGTGACGTCAGTGTCAAATCGTAGTATCACGTGATATTACAACGTCACGTTATTAGACGTCACATTACCTGACGCGACGTCAATTTTATCGCTTAATTAAGGGGGAAATTGTTAAACAATTTATTCGTGTTCAGTCCTCCTAAACGACAGCTTGGTGTCTTCTAAACAAATTTAAACAATGGCTCCTTAAATGCAGTGTGGCATGCATTACTTATGGCACTTCGCAGATAAAGGTCGCTGTTACTATCGTGTTTTCGAAGGAGGTCACTCGCGAACCACGAGGTAAAAGTGATATCCAAAACTAAATTAACCTCTGAAAAACAAAAGAAACACGTAGGCGGGCGTTGTTCTTAAACATTTCGTTCTTAAATTGTGGCACCGCGGGAAAAAGGTAATTCGAGCCCCGTGAAACGTCCATTCACACAACTGCGATTGAGCGCGTAAAGGCCTGTTCATACATAAAATATAGCGCTATCACTACCCTATTAGCCACCGCTAAATATAGCACTGACCTTGCTAACACATCGCTCAAATCGCGCTAAATAAGTGATACAATACAGATACAGCGTGCTGCATAAGTGCAAAGGTACACCCAGGTCAGTGCTGCATAAACGCTGTCCAGTGTGTATTTAGCGCTGCAGTGTACGCGTAAACAAACCTTTGGAGTGCGTGTGACCGCGTTACAACTGCGGGTAACCACACGACAATCGTGCTTCATATATGCCGCGTGCCAAGTTGCTCCACTAATTTGTTACCACGCTTCCTGCAAACCACAGATACGACCTGGTGACTCGCGGCCGCGTCTCAAAGCAATGTTGTCAAACGCCCTCGAGCGCAACAGTGCTGTACGGGACTCGAGAGGCTCTACATACGGTTCATTGACCCGAGCGGTACGCGAGCGACACACGTTCCGACGAAACGCCACTGGTGACGTGGGAAACAACCGCCTCCTGGGCAATCGCAGGCAGCGCGGCCGGGCAGTTCAGGGACGATGCGAGCTGCAGCGATCACGTCATCGACTCCTGCGGCACAGATTTCCTCGTTTTCTCCAAGGCCTCGCAGCTCCCCGACACCCCGGAGAAACTGGCCGCCAGCTGCACGTGAGCGCCTCTCCCTCCTCCCCCTGTTACGTGTGCCGCACTGTTGCCCCCGTACACGTCACACGGCTAATGCTTCGTATACCAAACACATACCATTCTCTATGCAGACGAAATTACAGTATTAGCTACGGAGGACCCGCGCCTCAAAGCATCTTCAAAGCATGTTTACTTTATACATATCCATGCTTCGAAGCATACCCATGCTCTGTGCATGTTCAAAGCTCTATGCATGTTCGAAGTTGTTTTGTATAACCAATGGGACAGTCATACGAGGAAGAGACACGCCTCAGAGTTTGTCTGCAAAACTGTCTTTCGTATGATGTATGAGAAGTGTAACCGCGGCTTAAAACTTACCGTTATATATGTTCCAAAAGGGCTGGTTCGCACATTCGCGTTTGCTCTGGACCGAGGTTCTTGGGATATCTTAGAGCAGGACAACATTTAGAGAGAGAAAACATGTATTACGGAGTGCTTCCAGCTGTATTTTGTGATACGAGCGGCGAGCAGGTGACGAAAAGCGTTTACTGTCTGCAAACATATCCGCCTTTCTTCCTCGCCACGTGAAAATGCGGCACATGCGCACTTGCGACCGATCGGCGCACAAGGTGTCCGCCATTAAATTGTAAACGCTCCCCACGGTTTGAGATGAGACTTCTTCTCAATCTGAGCTCTCTAGAGAACACGGTGGTACGCTGGCGCCATCTATATGAGGTGACCCTGGAACAGCATTTCACTACATAGAGCAGGGATATCAAACTCATTCCAGTGTGGGGGCCCCTGAGAGCAGGAGATCCAACGGAGGCGGGGGCCACATTTTTCTATTTTGAGACAAAACAAAACGAACAAAGCAAGCAGCATCAGTGTTTCACGCGGAAAAACAGCTGAATGTCCCAGCGACACCCCAGAGATTTTGAGACAAGGATCATTGCGCTTTCTGTAAGCTCGTCGTTTTTCCCTCTTTAGTTTTTCATGTACGTCTACTGTGGACGCACGCCTGACGTTATAAAAAGATTTAAAACGTCATCATACCAGTGTATAGGAAGTTATTAATAGAACGAGATCAAGCTCACCATCCTTGTCCTGTCGCACAATTCCCTAAGCTCAACATAGAAAAAATATCTCTTCATGCAAGTGTTTTTCTTTTTCTGACAGTTCTTGTCGCAGCGTTATAAAGAAATGCTATCATTGTAAAGGTATTTTTGACAGCTAGAACCCTGAGCCCATACCTTTATTTTTGGCCGTTGCTCCTGCTGTGTAAGAGTTCACGCAGCCGAGGTGCCTCCTTGAGCAAAGAGCTCGCACTATTATAGTCTTGTAGTGGTTTTGCCATTCCCGTTGATTAACACGAGAAAGGACTGAGAATCAACTTATTAGACAAAGCGAAACTTGGTAAAAAAAATAGAATAGTGCAAAATGCGTGAACAGAGCAGAGCTCCTTTTCGAGTGGATATGAATTGACAATATAAAACTGTTAATGATGGCGCATTTGGCGCTCGATGAATGGGAACGGAGGCTCGCAGCCGCGGAATGCCCGTGGACCGCATCGAGAAATGGTCGTTTATAATATTCACACAAAAACAAAAACGAAACAACAAGGATACGCAAAAAGGAATTCGGAAATATACGGAAACAGCAAGTGTTCCATGGTTGCCCAATAGATGGCGCTTACGACCACGGCGAGCGAACACCAGTGTGCCTACATTCGAGAGTGTTTCCAACTGCTAATTCAGGGTCACGTGGTATTTGCAACGCAAGGTGGGAGGAGGGGGCGAAGGCGTCGACGACGAGAAGCCAGAAAGAGGAGCAAACTCTCCCTCAATTTCCCCTTTCCATTCGACAAAGAGAAAGACCCTTACCTTTTCTGCGGTGAGTAACCGCGGCAGATAAGCGAAAAAAAAAAAACACAGCGACAAGAAAGTGGACAGAGGAAGGCGCACTCGTTGAAGTTCTCTCGTTTACTGCATTGTCCGTGTAGTAGGTTGCCGCCTCGGGGAAGTTGCCGAGTAATCTCCACATCTTGCTCGTGTTTTTTAGACGTATCGTTGTTCCCTCCTTTCTTGGTGTTTAGGATCAATTTTCTTGGGAATGGGCGTGGGTGAAATCATGTTTGTCCGTTCCCACGGCGGCATTCGCTCAAGGAAGTTTTCTATGTTTTCCGTATTTTGACCGAACAGTTTCACGATGGCTCATCAGGGGGGTGTGCGCATCAGTCTGGTTCGATGGATTTCCTCATGTTGCCTTCGGAGTTGAGGATTGGAAAGGAGACGCATCTATGCAGTTCCTTGAGCTGAACATTTCACGGGAGGGCTGCAATGCTTCTCCTTGCATCATACTCCTTATAGTTTCCTTATTGCTGTTTTTTTATCGAGGTGATAAATGGAATCCCGTATACATGACTCTAGAAATCAGTAGGGGTTGGGTCAGTGTTGGGGTTACTGTTTTCCCTGCGCCTCTGAGTCCGTGGGCGATCCTTCTTATAGGTACAGTTCCTTGTTAGCAAGTGTTCGTCATTCTTTGTAGCCAGGTCATTGCTCTCATTTTTTTTTGTGTGTGTGTTTTTGTGTTTAGGGTGGTTTCGAGTATGCGGCTGCAGAACGTGGCTACAAAGAATGACCACCACTTTGAAACAAGGAGCTGTGTCGACGCAATCAGTGTTTTGACTGCCGACCTGCGGCTCAGTTTTCAATGGTGCCGAAAACTGTCACTCGCGATAAATTTCGAGGTAATTAAAAAAATGACTTACATTCGTCAGAAGACGAGGAAAGCACGGGTCATGGCGAGCAGAGCACTTTATGTGAGGGTCTTGTCCTGATTTTCGTACCCTGCAACAGATAGACCAACTCTCTGTTTATAAACAAGTCCGCGCTTTACCCGGTGTGGGCCTTGCGCATGCGCAGAAGTCCGTGTGAGAGGAAGCGTCTCCGCATGCGCAGTGCCGACACCAGCGCCGCCCTAGTGGCGGGACGTTGAGTTGGTATATAGTAGTGGGCAACGCGCGCCTCTTCTTTTTGTCAATTAACGTGTATGAAGAAAAGCTCCCCTCAAGGTCGCAATTAACGTACCGCACGTCAACTAAGTCCCCGGCCCGTCCGACATGCCTACGCCGAACACAGCTTCCGCTTCATCCGTCAAAACTAAGCCGAGTCTCATGAGGGGTGATGCAACCTAAATGTCCACTTAGGACCCACATTGCAGACAAGCCGCATTGTTACATAACGTCGTGTCATCTTCTTTAACTGCTCAGTCATTAGCATTTTACTTGTTCGCAGTTTCTTCGCGGTCGAACGGTGACACAAACAATGCACCTCGATTATCGCCGGATATATTTTCCATTCGTTTAAGGAACGAAGCCCCCCCTCCCCCCTTTCACACACACAGATTTACCTGACTTGCATACGCGTTTGCAAATAGCCATGGACGTTTCAAAGGGTAATCGGCCCACATTATCAGGTTGAGTGGAAAATGCCTTGTATACAGGTTTGCAAGCAGCCACACTTCAAAAGCCAGTAAGATCACCTTGGGGGGAAAACAGTTTTGTTTTTCATCAAGTCTGGCTACCGTGCGTAATCTGACAGGTTAGTGGGAGCTTCGGATTCGCCGTACTAGTCAACCGCCATTTCATTACCTGATTCCACTCTCTGTGCGAGGGTATGAGCGAAAGCGTGCTCACTTGGTGAAAGGTCGACCCATGACTGGTCAAACAAGCACGTAGCCTCCACCACCCCGTCAACTTAGCTGTGAACGGAGTATAGACGACGATCTATTCGCGTCTCTAGCTCGTTGTTCGCCCTCTCGCGACGGAAACGGGAAGCACTCTAGTGAGGGTCTGGCCGGTTCTACTGCTCAGCGGGCACGGCGGAACTGCTCGTGAACATGGCACGAGGAAATATCATTTCCGAATGCAAACAACACTCTCCACTGTTTTAATGCACTGCTGCAGGCGGTATTTGATTGTGCCTTACTATCTAGAGAGTTTTAGTATTGAATATAAAAGCAAACGCAAACACCGTACGTTTGTGTTAGAGTTGTATGCTCCCCACTGTGTATGCGCGCCGTCGTCGTGCGACGACAATCAAAGACCGCAATTCTGGGCTCAGCTCACGGGCAGTGTGAAACACGCAATGTTAACGCAAACACGCAGTGCTTGCGTTCGCTCGTGAACGCAATACTGAAACTCGCTTCTGCTGTACCGGTTTTCCAACGCCAACGAAACGTGCTGCAGTGAGGGAGCAGACGTCAAGCCGGTATGCGTTCCTTCGAACTGGAAAGATGAGATTGGCAAAACGACGGCGTGTACAAATAAAATAAAATAAACGATTTGAGAAGTTGCGTAATTAAAAAGAAATATATTTAAACGGAATTCCTCTTTTGTTTTTCTGTGCATTTGGTCCGGAAGGATTGGCGGCGAATTTGGAAGTTTTGCCGATTGTCAAAAGTCGCGACTTTGATAGCACCATATGCTTTACTCACAATCGTTTCCATTGCACATAAATTCCTCAGGCTAGCTAGAATATTTTCCTTTATTTTAGACATTTTTTAAACATGTTGATTAAAAATGCTGCAATTGGCACCAGCGATGACAATTTTCAAACTTGGGATTGCCAAAGTTGTTTATGTGTTTGGAATTAGATAATAGGTTACAATTTATATTAGAGCTTGAAAAAGTGTGCATTAAAATATCTTAAATGTATTATAATTAATACAGATTAGGGTAATGTAGGCAACACCACAATAATACGCCATTTAACTATAATAGCCTTTAAAGAAATGTCTCACTGTTTTTTTTTTGTTTTTTTTGCGTATGAAAATCTCTATCATCGGTATCAAGATATACTTAAACACCGGATAAAGTACTATATGCGTCACGCGTTGTTTAAAAAAAAAAAAACACTTTTGTTGTCTAACTCGGATTCCGTTTTTGGGTTTTTGTAGTGAGAACAGCGTTTCTTAATTTATACATCTTATGAACATATTCTAATCTCATCACCCGTGGCAATATTTTGCATAATCTAGATTAATTATGTTAATCTTGTGCTTAAAATAAATGCTAAAGCAATTAATCATCTAAATGACGAAAAACCCATTAAAGGGCCCCTAGTTCATTTTTTTTTTTTTTTTAGATTACAATAATCTGAGTGAGGAAAGGCAGCAAGAGCCCAGAAATATCAGTGCTGATCTTTTCACCAAATTAAACGTTCTGATACCTCTGAGCTGTATGGAAGACCCTATCTTTAAAACGGCACTGAACTGTGCAAAATATTTGGAAGCATCTGGATCTGAGACGTATATGTCACAAAAAACATTTCCGTGAACCAGTTCCTTAGCATAATAATTGCGCTGTGAGACACATCTTGAATTAGAAAAGCAGAAAACGAAATTGACACCTATATCGGAAAATTTAATCCAAAATAGAAGTTAATTTCGGTTTCGTTCCTGAATTAAAACAAGCCTCCTGGCGTAAGTGTTACGCAAAACACCATTTTTGTTTTCAGGCTAAAAAGGTTACCTGGGGGCCTCACACTCTAGCTCCCTCGTATAAGCGGGGATAATTTGTTTCACTCAGTGAAGCCAGCACACCAGACAGGCCCAGCAACTGGAATACCAGTCCGCATCTCTGACCCTCACTACAACCGCCATTTTGGAAAACGAGTGGCGCTACCTAGACCATTCCATTTAGTGCTCTCAGGGCGGCGCCATTTTGTTAGACCGCAGCGCCCTCTCCCCACATCTGGGAAGTTCAGCAGGTTCGGCGGGGTAAAACGAGAGAGAGGGCACGCGCCCGGTTCTGCTATTAGCCCCGAGAGCGAACACAAGCGTCGCTGAGATCGCCGCACCCTGATTGGGTGAGGTGCGCCGTGACGTCAGGGGAAGGACTCCGCTTCGCGATGTCCGATCCGGCTTGCTCCCCTGCCCCGGTTTCCTGGTTCGGCCCTTGTGTGCCGCAAGCACTTCGAGGAACGGGACCTTGTTTACCCGATGTACAAAACGCTGGGCTAGGCCGATACTGACGCGCTTACGTACCTTCTAAAAGCGTGCTTGTCACTTTTACCTTTATAATTGGGTTGAGAATCCCGAAAGCTATCGGCGGAAGCAATTCCGCTGATGAACCTCCCTGTCGGTCCACACGGCACAAGGCGATCATTCGAGGGGTCGGTGAAGTGGCGGCGTAAGTGTTTCAGAAGCTAGAAGTCTGTTCCTTGTATGTTCATGATTTTGGAGAATATTACATACCGCTTTGCAGGCATTTCAAATGACATTGATGTTAAAGGCCTTCAGGCGGTCCGCGAATTAGCTCGCGAACCTGACTCTGCGCGTGCAATACTCTGTATGAGCTGGTTCGCAGATGGTTTAAAGGCCTTTAAAATACTCGTGGAAAAGGGTTGTTTTACATAAATGCAGATTCTTCGTGAATTAACAATATAGTTCGTACACGTATGCAGGCATTTTTATATATTTTAGAACAGGCACAATTACTGGAAATTAGTTTGTATGGTAGCAGAGAAAACGGTCGAATTACCCCCAGTTGCCTGTATGGGATGTATTGAACTGCCCCAAATATGCACAGCAATAGTATCGTACTTTGGTATGTTTATACTTTTTCCTGGCATTCTTTCATTTTCTCAGCCTTGTGTATTCGGAAAATACACCGTTTAGTATGAAATGTCTTTTCCAATTAAAAGAGACACAGCTGCAGCTCCTCAAAAGCTTCCTCAGCCACATAACTCCCTACATCTGGACTCTGACAACAGAGGAAAACAGGAGAACCAGCATTCGAACGAGTGTCCAGTTGTAGATGCAGCACTAAGAGCAGAAAATGTGGAACCTGGTGACAGTTTGCATGTTAGCTTCTGGTATTTTAGCTTCAGGACAATTTGATTTAGCTAAGATATCAATTTAGAGGCTAAGGGGCTAATTACGGGCTAGACACCTTCACTTTTGTTTGTTGTACATTACTTGAGTGATATTATAAACATGTCCACAAACAGAACCAGTAGAGTCCACTGAAAAACTACCCGAATCCAGCAAAGGTCATATACGAGCAATATAAACAGATGTGAACAAATAACTGGTATATGCCTGTGTTCCTTCTTTCTTTACTCTATCCCTGTACTTGGGCTGTCTCACTTGTGATTCTCTCTCCACAGCCCAGACAATATATATTTAACATGCAGCTTTTCTGCTTCGGCGTTTTTGTTTACAAACAAAGATACAATAAAAGAATAGTATATATAACCTGCCAATTCATTCAGACAATCAGTAGCTTTGATTTTGTGAGGTGTATATCTATAGTGATGCTCCTGCAATTGTGGCCATAATTCTTCATTTTTATACACTAACTGTGATTTATGCGTTGCCTGCCAATTGTCAACCATGCGTGAAAGCTTCGCCTGCAGCTACATGCCATACCTCAACAAAGTCACATATAATAATTTACACTTCATACAAAAGACACGCACAAATAAAAAAAAATTAAATAGAAACGAGCGCGTCGAAAGCTACGTCGTCACAGCCTCCGCAGGGCGAGCGCAGCGAGTCCGGCAAAAATTCTGTCCTCGCCGCGACGTCACCCCGGTTCACCGTGAGGGGGCGCCACGCAAACTTCTCGGGGCTAATAGCAGACGACAAGCCGGAAGGTTGCCGTTCTCTATCTTTCGGCGATACCGGCGGGCTGTACCTAACACCCAACACTCGCTCGTGGCTGCCGTTATGAAGTGGTCTGCGTTCTTAGAATATTTATGGCTACTCCGAAATCAGCCTTTAGCGCTCTGGTGTGTCATTTCAGTAAATGATCAACTCGCGTATCTTTGTTCCGTTACTTCAATAGCAGTGGAGTCAGCCGGCACCTCAACCACTGCGTCTATTGCGCCAGGAGAGCACGTTTTTATTTATTATTCAAGACTTCCACTCATTGTCGCTAAATGCCTACACCAGTACGAACTCCGTATTGTAAAATAGCTACAGCAACCGGATTTACTTTTCGCCGGAGCGACCGGCCACTCTAACAGCTTCTCCTTTTTTTTCTCTTTTTTTTTGTTCGCACGCAGGTAGCAGTGCGGTTAGACTTGGTCAGTCTTTTTATCGAGCATAGCATTACCACATTAACTTACATATAAAAAATACGCTCATCTGCGCTTTAAACTTTCAAAATGACGCGATTTTAAACCGAGTTGGAACGCCAGCCGGATGTTAAGTACAGCCCACTCGGCGGAGCAGACGACGCCCTGGGTGAGAGGGGGAGGGCATTTTTGTTCTTTCCGCTGTTCCTTGGCTTGCACTGAATGAGCCAGTCACTTTAATGACTTAACTGTCGTCAGAGACACCGGAAGTCGACGACGTTTATCAAGTGGCTTTCACTGACCATGGCTCGGGGAGCCTCCGCCAAATTAGGCAGCGTTTGTGTGTGTGTATGTGTCTGCGTGCGTGTGTGCGTCTACGTGCGTGCGCGCGCACGTGCGTGTGTGTTTGTGCGTGTGCTTGCCCACGCGGGCGTGCGCGTGTGTCTTTTTTTGTTGTTGTTGACAGAATTGCATTTAATTTTTAAAAATACAATCTTGGCTGTCGGTACCAAGAGGATATTTTAAGAATGTTCATTTTTCCATATAAATATGTTGCCGCTCGTTGTGTCCGAGAGAGGTAACATCGCCTCTTAAAGTGCACGCTGGTCATGCTTCGTATACAAAAGGCACCGTGTTCGCCGAAGGTGTATGTTGACAAAATAATATGCAAACCCGAACACGCCATAAGAATGTTTGTTGAATGTTTCTTCATATGCTGTATATTTCTAACATGCCTACAGACAGTGTTTGTATGACCAATGTGACCGCCATACAATACAGAAGGATGCCTCTGACAGTGTCTACACAATCTTTTGTGAGATGCATTAAGAGTGTTATCGGATTAAGAGCAAGACAAATGAAACAGGATTTGGGTATATAGCTTCGTATGGTGCCACGAAAACTGGAAACGATGTGGTACAAGAAAGGCACGCGTGCCTTTTTTATGCGACTTCGTTGGCATAAGTGGCGTGAAACCGTAAAAATTAGCGGACATTATGTCGAAAATAATACGTAAAGAAAGCATGCAGTAATACGTTATGTGAATTCCGTACATCTTCAATAAACAGTAGTCTCGTTCAATTTGACGGCACTTTCCGCACCGGTCCAGAAAAGTTTAGGGTAGTGTGCTTCCAGTAATGAGATACGACCGGATGCACGCCGCCATACACTTTTCTGCGCCGGTGCAGGCATGTGCAGGACGTGCACAGGTCAACCGAGCGACGCTAGCTACGGAAAGGGAAAAAAAATGTGGGGCGTCACTTTCCGAGGCATCCTCGGAATAGGCACAAGTGTATAAATGTCTGTCGTTGCAGTGAAGAGCTGAAAAGCCTGAGCTGCGCCAAGGACTACGCCAGTCGCTGCCTCTTGGGGTTCACCCGTGGCGCCGCCCTGGTGGCTATCAACGCCGTTCAGGAGGAGGTCGAAGGCAAATGCGACTCGACCCACATCTTGCACAGACGTGAGAAAGAAAAGTTGCAGACGGACTTACAATCTGTCCGCGGCCTCGAATTCCTTAAACGCCACCTCTTGGTCGTAAGACGAATTGCACTTGCTGACTCTTCGTCTAACCGCCTTTGTCTCTCTCTACCCTCTTTTCAAACGCGTTTGAGCAGTGAGTGGAGACAAAAGCAGTTAGCCTTGGCGTCTACCCACTGTCCTACCAATCAGAGCTCGGTGCTCAATCCTCCCCCTCTCCCTCAGTTTTTACTCGTAAAGCAACCAAACCCTGTACCAACGTTACTAGAAGACGCAGTTGGGAAACTCGCCGTCCAAACCTGGGCCGCTGGCGTCCCGTCCACCGAGACCGAGCTAAATACGACAACAGCGCCACTCTTTATCATTTGTCTGTACTGTGGTCACATTGAGCTCTTAGAAAGTATGTTTTGCGTAAAAACAAACGGAAAAGACTCTTTTTGTATGAAATTTGTTGAAGTGTAGTACAAAATGAAGGGCGCGTGAGGTTTTTATCATCTTTAGTTTGCAAGGTTTTGCGGAACAATTAATATTGTTTTTATACAACCATGCCTCAGCGGTCCTTTCAGGTAGCGCGTCCCTACCTAGGTGCATTTTAACTTCGGTACAAATTCGCGGCGCGTTCGCTGGGGAGACGGGGGTGGCACACCTGTAACCTCTTCCGCTGCATATGTTTCGGCACCAAATGGTCGATTAAAGCCAAAATAGAAGTAACGTGCAGTTCCTAGAGTGGCCGCTGCGGGAGAAATGGCGGCGTTGCGTTCGCCATTAGCTCGGTTCTGGTGGACAGATTGGGGCCACTTTTTCAGAGCAGTCTCTATGGCAGTTTCCCAACCGAGTGGTTCTAGTAACGTTGCCCTGTACCAAGGACTGGAGCCATATTTTTCCACTTGCCTCGGTGTAAGAGACTTTTACGTAACATCTCGCAACGTTTCCTTTTCGACGCTCTTAAAACATCAGCATTTCACTCCGGGCTGTTTACAGTGGCTGGAAAGGGGCAAATTTCTTGCAGGAAAAACAAACACGGCTTCTCTTGACACGTCAAGGCGCTTTCTCGGTAAGTCCCGCTGAGCAATAATGTGTCCGACCGCCCTCCAGGGTACTTCGAGCACGTGGGCTGCATGAACAAGGCCGGCCCCGGCATCCACGCCTGCGTGCGACGCTTCCAGGAAGCCCTCTTCATCGCGGCGTCCAAGGCGCCGCGCAAGGTCAAGGTCCCTCACGCCTGCTGGTAGGTGGGTCGAGGTGTAGTAAAAGTGTAACTTTGTGTATGTTTACATAGCGAGGAGTTGAAGGGGCCCTGAGGAGGTTTCCGAGATCGCCTAAACATGGCGATAAATCACTCTGCCGGCTCTAAGCATCCGAGAAATTCTCAAGTCACGACCATGAGCGGCCCATTTCCTCATTACAGAAGCGTTTAATGATCGCAACACACCGAGGTCATTTCAGACGATGAGAGGAGCATGTTCCGGCATGCAGGGCGATATGTGACCGATGAAAACGCGACATTTCGTGAAGATTCCAAACGCTGTTATTACAAAATGTGTTTGCTTTTGTATATGATAGGAGCCAATAAGGGTATGAGACAAATGTTAATTTTTCGCGAAATAAAAACATAACACTGCAATAATCATAATGCAGTTCAATGCAAAGGGGAAAGCGAGCTGGACAATAATGATGAAAATAATCCCCGGAGAAGGGGAAGAAGGGAAATAATCCCTGGAGAAGGGGAGAAGGAGAAGGGGAGAAGGGCATTTAACTGCATTATAATTATAACATTAAATTGCAAGCTTCACCCTTGTTGGTGTTAGACTGGTGGCAGCTGATAAAACCCGTTTGCTCTACTGACGTCTAACCCCTGGTTAGCTCAGTTGGTAGAGCGCTCCACTTGTAATGGAGAGGTCCCGGGTTCGATACCCGGACCAGGCGGATTTTTTCGGTCGCTCACCAGTCACCTAGCTGTGTTTGGAGATTTATGTTTGTCCCTTGTCCCTCTTGTTCCCCTTCTCCAGGGATTATTTTCATCATGCAATAATCGTCTCAAAAACAGCGCAGTATGCTTTCTTTTTCTTTTTCCGCGGAAGTGATGTGGGTCGTCTGCTGGTCTGCTCTCGAGCACGCGCTCGCTGGGCCGAATCATCGGCGTCAGGTTAGTGAGAGCCATGGCGCAATGAAGCGATCGCTGCGATGGAACACAAATTGACTTCGCCTGCCAGGACAGTGCGACTGACTAAAAGGCAATAGTGGTTCTGGGCTCGTAGGCCCGCCTGTCTCTAATGGTCCACCGGTCGGAGACTCGAAGATCCTTTGCTTACTATTGACTGACAGCGGTCCCGGTTTCGGGACATGCTCCGCCTATCGCCTAAGATGACCTCGGTGTGTTGCGATCTTTGATTGCCTTTTTAATAGGGAACTCGGCCGCGTATCGTCGCGATTTAGGGATTTCCAGGATGCTTAGAGCCAGCAGAGTTAGTTATCGCTACATTTAGGCGTTCTAAGACACCTCCTCAGAGCCCCTTTAAGGCCCATCCACACTCTTACGTTTGCTTGCGACGGAGTTTTTGTGATATCTTGCGACGATAAAACACACTAGCACGCAGGCGTCATTATACGAGTTGACCCTGGAACTGTATTTCACTAGACCGAAGGCTTTGCAGTATTTAGAAGATCAAATGCACGTACCTTATAAAAGAAATTGCCGTTCATAACATTTCTAATATTGTCAACGTTTTCAAGCAAAAAAAGAATGATGGGTGAAAACAAAAAAGCAAATATACGGAAATGACAAGCGTATGACGGCTAACCAATAGATGGCGCCAGTGTGTTCGACGGTCATTAGAGATTTGAAGAGGTTTTAAGGTACTGGGTTGTTAGTCGTCGCAAGTGTGTAAAGCCAACACCACCTAGACAGAAGGCCTCCACACGCGTCATCATAGTCAGATCGATCGAGGCGAGAGATTGGGCACGAGTGCTGCGTCAGTGTTCGGCTGCGGCTCGTGGCCAATCAGCGCGTCGAAGGTCGGGCTCGGGTCAAATAGCCGACCGAGCGCGATCCGACTGTGATGACGTTTCATAGAAGAAGAGGAAACCATGCGGAGGCCTTGGTAAAGCTGCCTTTAGTCTGCCCTGATAGGCGTTTGGTGTCTCTGCTGTACATGAGGAATTTATAGGCAACGCAGTACCACTTCTACGGTGCCCGGAACGCGTTTCCGACTGGTGTGCTTAGCCTCTTATTCCACCCATGCATTGAAAGTGGCTCCGAAGTGGCACCAAACGACGTCGCAAAAGTCGGAGTGTCACGCTGTTGAATGTGCACGATCCTGGTGGTTGGTCGTAGAAGTTGCCGCAAAAAGCGCGACCAGACGTGTGCGTCGCTTTCGTCATGACGTGTCAACTTTTAGCTGCGGAAGCTTCCGTGGACTGTCAAGCTGGAGAGCGACCTGCAGCAGAACAGGCGTCTGCTAAATCCACGACTCCTGCTGGGACACCGCCAGGGTCGCGACCGACGACAGCGTGACACTTCTATGACGTCATCAGGCGGAAATCGAGGGACCACTTTTTTGGACGTGGTAAACACGCCAGTCGGAGACGCGATCCAGGCACCATACCACTGCTAGCCTGGGGCCTTTAACCTGCATTACGCAATGGCGATCACACGATCGCACGCCGGTACGATGTTCGTCCAGACTGTATTGAGCAGGGGTTGGGATCTTAAGGAGCCGTGAAACGATTTTTCTACTTTCGCTAAATACTACTTTGAATCACTCCGTAATGTTAATAACTGAATAAGCTTACCTTAATTTTTCTTTCTAGGCGATGGCATTCACTAAACTATTTTGACAAACATGAGTATCGTTCCTCCAGGCATTGTTACAGTTCGGCTATTCTCCTCGCCGCAGTGGTTGAACACGAGCTACAACTTATACTGTCCGCCGAGGCATCGATGGTTACGAGCCGAAGTCGAGTGTTCGCGCAGTTCTCGTGTCCAATTCATGCGCCGTGCTTGACTGTCGTGAGGCGGGTGGTTTCGATGCTACAATGACGTCATCGAGCTTTTGCGGCGGCAAGACTGAAAGAAATAGTCCCCTTTTATCCTCGAAATTTTACCGCGACAAAGAATCTTCCGAATCAGTAGCGGTCCGTGCGAGTATACTTGGGCCAGATTAGGACCAGTACCCGTCTGGAAAGTCACGAAGATTCCAACGCCATATTGTTTCATGACCCCTTTAACCCACGAAAAACTGCAGCGCTGAAGCGCAAGCTTTCGCTCCACGAGCTCCAAGCTCCGTTAGCTCTGGTACGTCAACACACTGTCACCGGTCCCCCATCCAGTGCATTCCAGTAGTCGGTGACTCGTTAAGAACTTGGTAGATGGCACTCCTCGAGCGCGAGCTTTACGCAGATCTTTGACAACAGTTTGTCGCATGTGTAGACAAAGCCCGGCGCGAAGCACCGAGCGTGCGCTGGAGGAAACCTCGCGCTTCCTCCCCTCCAGCATCGTCACTATATGCTTCGACAACATTCTTAGATTGTCACCGACAGTAGAAGAGGAAACCTCGCGCTTCCTCCCCTCCAGCATCGTCACTATATGCTCCGTCACCCCCGAGCAGTGTTGGCGGTATCGCGTTACAAGTAACGGCGTTACCAGTAACGAGTTACTTTTTCCAGTAACGTAGTAACGTACTCGTTACATTTTAGAAACAGTAACGGCTAACGTACTTAGGTTACTCAGTTCGAGTAACGGGTAACGGAGTTGCGTCACTCGTTACGTTTTCCTCCTAAAACCTTACAAAAATTACACTTTTTTTTTACGCAGCCGACGCTATGAGCTGATGGGACCAATCAGACACGGTCGAAAGCGCCCCGTCATGGCGTTCGTCACGTTTCTGTGCGTGTTCTATCAACGCTGAACCAATCATAACCAAAAAAGGCTCAGGGACTTCAGATAACGACGGTGCTCGATAAGTCCCGTTAGTTGGTAGCGTCGATTGCACTTGGACTCAAGCGGGAACGAACTGTGGGCACCAAGTAATTAATGACTGCACTCATTCCACACACCTTTACTATTTCCCCTGCCTTTTCCCACACGAAAAGCCTCACCTTAGAAAAACCGCAACGCCCAGGCCCTTGTCCCAGTGTCGAAAAACACTCTCGCCCCCCCCCCCCCCCCCCCCTAAAAAAAAAAAAGCTGTTTCCGTCAACTTGTAAATAAAAAGTACCCCAAAAGTAACCTGCGTTACTTTTATCGGTAACGGTAAGGGTAACGCGTTCCTGTTATCTTGAGGCAACGTAGGTCGGTAAAGGGCGATTCATACACTTGCGTTGAGTCGGACCTAGCGCGAGGGTTGCTATGGCAACAACTGCGTCGGCTCCAACAAAACGGGGTACGACGCAGCTGTAGCAACCCTCGCACTCGGATAGGACTCAACAGAAGTGTGTGAATCGCCCTTCAGAGTGTTTGCCGCTCGCGGGGCGGGTCGCGGATCATGCACTAACAATGACAGAATGCGCAGGACTTGCCTACTGGGAATATCTAAAAGAATATAAATAGTAGTGAGTTTTAGAATTGCGTATACGCGCAAACGCAAGCACTGGACGTTTGGGTTAGTCTTGCGTGTTCCACGCTGAGCGTGAGCGGAGCTTCACACCGCGTCTTGAATTGGCGAATGGCGACGACGCGCATGCGCAAGCTAGAGCACGCAACGCTAACGCAAACGCACAACACTTACGTTTGCTTCTCTGCAACAAAATGCAATTTAAATCTGCGCAAAAAGACATTTTTTATTTGTGGTTTTATTGCTCATATATCATACGAAAAACACTGCAGACACCGTCTGGGGCCTGCTTTTGTTTTTCTTGTATGACGTCCACATTGGTCATACAAATACTGTCTTCATCATCATCATCGTAAACTTTATTAATTGATAAAGTGAAAGGACCTTGCGGTCTCTGGTCGGTGCCCTTAGTCCAGGGCTCCGTTGGCCGCCCAAATTCGGCGGGCTCGCTCAACCAGTCGCTGCTGGTCATCGAGCTCTGTGCCGGAAAGGGCCGCTTCCCAGGAGGAAAAGGTGGGGGAAGGAATGGGGGTGGTACCCTCGACATCTACGAAGCAAACATGATTCGAAATCGCTTGAGGCTTGTCCGCACATGCTTCTGTCATCATGTCTCGAGCGAACGCCGTGTCTTTGTGTGACGTGTGAGCATTGCGACTGCGACTTTAGAGACACCGGA